ATCTTCGGTGGTTGTGGCATCATCACCGTCGGCGGAAGTTTCAGTTTCTTCGTGATCAGCATCTTCGGTGGTTGTGGTATCATCATTGCCTTCAGTGTCGGCGGAATCATCATCTTTTTTTGAGGAATCATCACTGCTTGTGTCGGCGGAATCATCTTTGTCTTCGTGATCCTCTTTGTTTTCGTAATCTCCTTCGGCCTCTGGGGTAGCTTCTTCAGATTCGCATGGAGTAGAAGTTGGATCATTATCATCGTCATCTTCCTCATGATGATGGCGGTGTTCATAATCGTCATCGTCTTCTTCATGATGATGATAGCCGTATTTTCCGTCGTCATCGTTGTCATCGTTGTCATTGTCAGCAACCTCAGTTGGGTCATCACATGGAGTTGAAGTTACAGTATCATCGTCATCGTCATCGTCATCGTCATCACCGTGGTGGTGGTGGTGGCCGTACTGGTCGTCATCGTCGTCGTCGTCAACATCAGTTGGGTCATCGCACGGAGTAGAAGTGACAGTCACATCATCATCATCATCATCATCATCATCACCGTGGTGGTGGTGGTGGCGGTGGGGGTGTCCGTACTGGTCGTCGTCGTCGTCGTCGTCAACATCAGTTGGGTCATCGCACGGAGTAGAAGTGACAGTCACAATGTCGTCATCATCGTCATCATCATCATCATCATCATCATCCTCACCGTGGTGGTGGTGGCGATGATGGTGGTACTTTTTGTAGTGGTCGTCGTCATCGTCATCAGCAACTTCGGTTGGGTCCTCGCACGGAGTTGAAGTGGCAACTTCGGTTGGGTCCTCGCATGGAGTTGAAGTGGCAACTTCGGTTGGGTCCTCGCACGGAGTTGAAGTGACAATTACAGTGGAAGAAGGATAATCATCATCGTCGTCACAGTCATCATCATCATAGTAATCATCATCATCATCATAGTAATAATCGTCATCATCGTAATCGTCATAGTCGTCATCATCGTAAATTGGATCGTGAGATTCCTTGGTCGGGATCACGGTTTCGACAGGATATACACTATCGGTTGAAACTACTACAACGGTAGTGGGATAGACATCATTATCATGCTTCTTATGACACTTCTTCCAAAGACACTTCTTGAAACAATTTCTGTTCTTAATACACCTTCGATGACATCTCTTCCACCATTTTCTGAGACAGTGCTTCTTTAAATGATAATGAAGTTTCTTTGGTTTTGAGGTTGGGACAAGAGTTACAGTTTTGTCGTCGCACGGAGTTTCAGTTGGGTCTAGAGTTACAGTTTTGTCGTCATCATCATCGCACGGAGTTTCAGTTGGGTCTACAGTTTTGTCGTCATCATCGTCGCACGGAGTTTCAGTTGGATCTAGAGTTACAGTTTTGTCGTCATCATCGCACGGGGTTTCAGTTACGTCATCGTCATCATCAACATCGGTTGGGTCGGTTGGGTAGTCGTCATCATCTTCCTCACCATGGTGATGACGGTGATGACGGTGATGGTGGTAGTCGTCGTCGTCGTCGTCAACAGCAGTTGGACTTACAGTGACGGTGTCGTCATCATCATCGCACGGAGTTTCATCTGGATCTGCTGGGTAGTCGTCATCATCTTCCTTACCATGTCGATGATGGTGATGGCGGTATTTTCCGTAGCCGTAGTCGTCGTCGTCGTTGTCAACATCGGTTGGGGTTGGATCATCCGTGCATGGGGTTAAAGTTTCAGTGTCGTCGGCGTCGGCATCGTCATCTT